AGGACCATCTGGATGCAATTCTGTGCAATGTGCTCCAGGATGACCCTGCTTGAGCAGGGGACCAGATGATCCACTGTGGTCGCTTCTAACCCTATCCATTCTCTGATTATTTACTTTTTTTTTTCTTTTTACTAATAACTTGTAGAGCTTCCAGCTCCCTGAATGTATAAGCTGTTGTGGACTTTGTGGAAACTTTAAGTTGTAGTATACAGCAAGGCAAGGCTTGACAGGATGTACGCGGCGTCATTGACCAGTAGTACAACCACACTGAGAACAATGGCACAACCTCACTGCCTGTTGCTGTCAATTAGCGATTACTTACTTGGCTGGCACTTGAGAAAGAAAAGGAGACTTGATGTCTGCCCTCAAGACCTCACACAGGGAGCTCACTACTACAACACAGGCAAGTTCTGACAAGGTTTCTCCCGTGGTCCATGAGTAAGGCACAGAGCGGTCTGGGTGCACTGTCTTCTGCCTACGTATATTAACAACAGTGTTGGTCCTCAATGAGGTGGCAGACTGGCCTAGAGAGACGACAGGGCAGACACTTCTCTGAGCTTGGACTTGAAGGGAGAAGAGGGTGAAGGAGTGGGACAGGCAACTGTTGAAGCAAAATGCTGCGATAAGATTGAGAAGATACCAGATAAATACCCTCCCTCTTGGGAGGGGGAAAAGCAAGAAGGAAAGTGTGCACATACTTAAAGGGATAAAGGTTAGAATTACATACTAAAATTTCTTATACATAAGGTCAGATGTAGAGAAATTGAAAGTATTTAACATGATATTAACATGAAAACAGAGAGATCTCAGCATAGATTGCCAGGACTGTTACCATCCTGACCTCTCACTCTGAAGTACTAATCATGGGTATTCTACTCCTCATAAAGCTCTCCATAGTCAACTCTATTGCTAGTGGACATTAAAGCCAGGCCAAAATATGAGTGGGCAGGGAAGACGAGTCTGGCTGAAGAGAGATCTTTGGCTTGAACTCGGGATAAAAATGAGAATGTACGACCTTTGGAAGAAGGGGCAGGTACCTTGGTGGGATTGCAAAGGTAACGCAAGGTTAGGCAGAGAGAAAATTAGAAGGGCTAAAGCCCAATGACAACTTAATGTGGCTACTGCCATAAAAAACAATAAAAAATGTTTCTATAAATACATCAGAAACAAAAGGAGGGCCAAGGAGAATCCCAGTCCTTTATTGGATGCTGGAGGGGAAACATAGTGACAAAGATGAGGAAAAGGTTGAGGTACTTAATGCCTTCTTTGCCTCAGTCTTTAATAGTAGGATCAGGTGTTCTCCAGGTACTCAGCCCCCCTGAGCTGGGAGACAGAGGCAAGGAGCAGAATGAAGTCCCCATACCCCAAGAGGAAATGAGACTTGCTACACCACTTAGACACACACAGGTCTATGGGGCCGGAGGAGATCCACTCAAGGATCTGAGGGAGCTGGTGGAAGTGCTCAGCGAGCCACTTTCCATCATTTATCAGCAGTCCTGGCTAACTCAGATCCTAGTTGACTCCAGGTCCCAGTTGACTGCAGGTTAGGATTTCTGATTTCCATCTACAAGAAGGGCCAGAAAGAGGATCCGGAGAACTACAGGCCTGTCAGCCTGACTTCTTGAGTGCCATCACACGGCATGTACAGGACAATCAGGAGATCAGGTCCAGCCAGTATGGGTTTAGGAAAGGCCAGTCCTTCTTGACTAACTTGAGCTCCTGAGCTCCTTCCACCTGCTAAGCGGATGAGGGAAAGGGTGTGGATATTGTCTACCCAGACCTCGATAAAGTCTTTGGCACTGTTTCCCACAGCATTATCCTGAAGGAACTGTCTTCCCATGGCTTAGATGGGCATACTCTTCACTGGGTAAAAAACTGACCGGATGGCCAGCCGCTGAGAGTGGTGATGAATGGTGCTACATTCAGTTGGCAGCTGGTCACCAGTGGTGTTTCCCAGGGCTCAGTACTGGGGCTTGTCCTGTTCATTATCAATGATCTGGATGAGCAGATCAAGTGCACCCTCAGTCAGTTCACAGACAACACCAAGCTGGGTGGGAGTGTTGATCTGCTGGAGGGTAGGAAGGGTCTGCAGAGGGATCTGGACAGGTTGGATCATTAGGCTGATTAGGACAATTGCATGAGGCTCAACAAGGCAAAGTACTGCGTCCTGCACTTGGGTCACACTGACCCCATGCAGAATTACAGGCTTGGGGCAGAGTGGCTGGAACGTTGCCCAGTGGAAAAGGACCTGGAGGTGCTGGTTGACTAGGGAAGTCCCTGTACTAGCGAGGCCACACCTCAAATCCTGCATTCAGTTTTGGTCCCCTCAGGACAAGAAGGACATTGACATGCTAAAGTGAGTCCAGAGAAGGGCAATGGAGCTGGTAAAGGGCCTGGAGCTCAAGTCTTATGAGGAGCAACTGAGGGAGCTAAGGGTGTTTAGCTGGAGAAAAGGAGGCTCAGAGGAGATCTTATCACTCTCTACAATTACCTGACAGGAGGTGGTACCAAGGTGGGAGTTGTTCTCTTCTCCCGAGTAACAAGTGACAGGACAAGAGGAAATGGCCTCATGATGTGCCAGGGGAGGCTTACATTGAATATTAGAAAAAAATTATTCACTGAAGGGGTAGTGAAGCACTGGAACAGACTGCCCAAGGAAGTGGCTGAGTCACCATTCCTGGAGGTATTTAAAAGGCATATGGATGTGGCATTTTGGGACATGGTTTAGTACTGGACTTGGCAGTGCTGGGTTAACAGCTGGACTGCAACGATCTTAGAGGTCTTTTCCAATCTAATCCATTCTACAGCTCTACAATTTTTATAAAATTGAACATTTTTAGTTTAGAGCAGGAAAAGTGCCTTGGATGAAACCTTTGGAAGCATAGATGACATTTTGGATGAACCAGCATTGCACCTGTTATTACTTCTCCACCTGGAGTCTACTGTTATCCACAACTACTATGTTCACTCCTTTTATTACTATATTTTTCTTCTCATTTAAAACAAACTACGTGATTTTAGCCAGTTTTACTGCTATTGAGCATTAAACTGCCTATGTACAAATGGACAGACCCAATGTTGTTATGTTATTTTAGTGGGACAACTTCAAATAACAAATATAATGTACTAAAATTCATCTTTCTAGGATTTATCCTTCATTTTGCTGGTGTTATTCAACCAAATCTGCCACTGGCTTCATCTGAACTTGGCTTGATTAAAATTTATTCTATAAACTTTACTGCAGCTGATTCCGTCAAATCTCTGTTCCCCAGCCATTTCCTTGCATTTGGACTATCGAGGACCAAAAAAAGAGAATCTATTCAAAAATATAAAAGAAGGGCTTATTTTTATGTATTGCACATTTACGTAAATGTGAAAAATTTCTCTGCTATTATGATGTTAGATTGGTTTTTAATTCACTGTATTTTTTATTTTAATGTATCAAAAATAAAACTCTGCAGCTTAATTCTCACAATAAATCTTGCACTTCTAACAGAGTTTAAAACATCATTATCAAACTGAAACCTAAATGAGCTGTGCTAACCTACATTTCCATGCTATTGCCCTTTCATTTTAAATACATTTTGTATGTTAAGAATATTTTCAATTTTCTGTTTAAAAGAATCAGAGAAGGCACTTACACCACCGAAATAACAATTTCAGGTGCAATTTAAGCAAGCAAATAACAAAGCAAATAACTAGAGCCTCAATGAGCTTTTTTATACAAATCACTAAGTCAAACCTTTAGGGTAAAAAAAGCTCATTTATTCATCAAGAAGTTAATCCAGTTTGTTCCCTAACTGGGAAATAGCTTTCCCTGCCTTTTTTTTTGTATGGGTACGCTATTCATTAATGAAACAAAAAAATCTTACCCAGGACTTCATATCTATTATGTAAGTAAACACTACACTTTGATGTAAAAATTCACATTTTTACATCATTTGAATTTCACATTCACATTACCACCTAGGAGACAAAAGAAATTTCTTTCACACTGCCATGTTCACTACCGTTTTCTTTGACTTTTTAAAACTAATTTGTCCCTTATATCAAAATCTCAAATCCAAATGCCACACATAGTAAGAACAGTAATTTTTTTTCTGTTTAAATTAAGCTCAGTGAAGTTCTACAAAGTCACACTTTTTTCCATTCTAAGTAAACTGTCAAATAGTCTATTTTCTCATTATATGAATACTATTCTAAGTATATATCCTCCTACAAAATTAATACTAAAAATTGAATTAAAGAAAGATTCTTCAAGTTAAAGGAAAAAATAGCATTGGAAGAGGAAAACACAATACAAAAGCATAAAATAACTACAAAAAGAATTTTTCTGAAATTAACTGATAGTACTGAAAAAGCACTTCAGCACACACCTTGTAAACCAGACTGTAAAGTGGTACTAGCAGTCTGATAAGCCTACTACTTCATCCACACTAGAGAATGACCCCATATAATGATTCAAAAATAAAAATAATTCATTTACATATATACATATATAATACTTGTATCACACAACGAAGCATCCAAAGAAACATTTGCTTTTTATGATAATATGTCTAGGCACAGAAACAAGGCAGCACTAAATTGAATTTTTATTCTCAAGAAAAGTCATTGTTTTATAATTATGCATCCATTTTCTTTCCAAATTACCTTTTTTTTTAACCAGGTTATTTACCAAATTTTTAGACATACACAAAAATTGAAAACCAAATTTCTCTCCAATAACATGGGTACACTAACAGTAATTTCTCACAGCACAATTATTAGAAATTTTTTCATTAAATTTTGCCAGTTCTAATTTTTTGCATAGTTGTAATACCTAATGTATTTTTTTCATGTAAATGCAGTATAAACTATGGACATTTCAGAAGGAAAAGCTTCAAGAAACTATAACAGCAAAGGCAAGACATTTAAAAAGTGAAAATAAATAATTCCTAATTAGCTTTGATTACTTCAAACACTTGGCTATGCTTTACAGTTTTTATAAATGATCTTACTCTTTGAGGCAACTTTCAGTCAATCCAGTCATAGTTAGAATAACAGTGTATCAAGGCAGCTTGTCAGTCAGACCCTTCTGCTTCATGCATCTTGAAATATTGATCCTTCAAAGAAAATACAAAGAACTGCTCACTCGACTCTCAAGCAACACCTGTAGGTGATACAGCCATATTAGCACAACACTGTTCTGGATTTCCACACATAAAGAATCAAAAATTGCTATAAATCAACATTAAAGGCCAAAATTATTTTCTCAGACATACTAATTTGAATTGAGAGAGATGCTGTTGTCCAAGGATTTTTAATTTTACATTAAATTGCCTTACTGCTTATACACCAGAGAAACTGTAATATAACTAAGACCCAACAGTACTCTTTAATCTTTAATATATAATTAAATTTTGGTGGTTTTTCAATTTATCCAGAGACTTAATACCACTTAAAACCGTGCTTTGTTGTATTCATTTTAATCAAATGTTATTTTAATTGGGTCTGTAAGGACATGTAGAAACTGCTGCACCACAGGGAAGAAACTAATTTTTGATCTTCTGTTCTTACATCTCTGAAACCAGCCTGGTTTCCAGTCTCACCTTTAACTTCCCTTCAGGCATTATTCCCTAGGGTTCCATAGCTTCAATTCCCAATTCAGAGTTGCTCAAAAGAATAATGTATCTCAAAGCACTTCTGGAAAGTAAGACTTGTGGAAATGGGGATGTCTTACCAAATTTTTGGTATTTTCTATGGGAAGAAGTTGAAGCCTAAAGTTGGGCTCCTTGGAAATGCTTCATGGAGCCAATGTGTGAGTATACTACAAAGTTGGAGTACCTCCTTTCAAAATGGACAAGCAGTTGTGAATATACTGCACCTCTCCCTCCCTCATCCTGATTTCTCCTAAGCTTCATTCCTTCTCAAAGACAGACAGGGGCTGCCTTTTTTTCCTTCACAAAAGGTGTATGTAAGATAGCCAGGTGCCACCAGACTACTCTCCACATTGCTGAGAGTGTAGCTATCTATGAAGAAGGGAAGAATCATAGAATCATAGAATAAACTGGGTTGGAAAAGACCTACGAGATCATCAAGTCCAATCCTTGATCCAACACTGCCATGGTTACTAGACCATGGCACTAAGTGCCACATCCAGTCTGGCAAATAAAGCCCATCAAGGGAAGAATCAGACTTTGAATAAGAACAGTCTACCTCATAGTGAAAGAGAGGGTTTGAGACATAACTTTTGTTACTGTCAGAACACTAAAATACTAAATTATTAATATTCTCTCACAGAGAGCAGTTACAATAGCTGAGACTGGGTTGCAAATCCAGGGAGCAAAATTAGGGCAACCCCTTTCCCAGCCTTCATTCCTTCCTTGCTTAGCAAGAACTTGACTCAAGCTGTTTCACTCCAATGATTTGGTAAGTAGTTCACCCGTTTCTAGCCTAAACAACAGGTTAAATTCATGATTATATTCCACAATTCAGTTAAGTTCAAATTGCCCAGGCAACATTTACCGTGAAATTAATATCTTCAGTCCCCGTCAGAATCAAATTTAAAGTGGCAAATCAACTTTGATCTCTAAGTGCATGAACACAATGTTTTTCATTAAAGAGATATTAAAAGCCCTAAGGATGGGGAGGGGAGGGGCAGGGTGTGTTAAGGTTTTCTACCTTTTGTGGGTTTGGGTTGTTTGCGGACGGTTTTTTTTTTGTTTTGTTTCATTGGTTGGTTTTTGGTTTGGTTTGGTTTTGCAGTGGGGATTTTTGTTTGCTTGGGTTTTGTGTTTTGAGGGTTTTTTTGTCATTTGAGATCCTGGAGCAAACTTTTGCACTGTAATTTAAAAGGAATTGGATCACATTTATGAAAGGGGTTGTGTCACATTAGTTACCTGTGCAGCAATCACCAGACAAGAATGACAAAAGAAACCCTTGCAAGCTTCCTTTTCCCAGAGGAAAAAGTGGAAAACAAGCATCAACATATTTAGGGTTTTTCAGCAGAGCATAGGAATACTTTTCTTATAACCCTGAACAGCAGAAAAGGGAAAGAGTCCGTGTCTTGCATCTTAAGGTGTTTTGGTTTTCTCACATTTGAAACATGAGTGGAACACAAAGGGAACAAACCTGTTTGTACCCTTATCATTGTTTTAAAAATGTTACAGGTTTCCACAGTGCATCACCAGGATCTCTGTATTCAATCTCATGTCTCACTTTTCACTTCATCATTCATTCTGTAACAGGAGCTGATTGCTGTAAAAAATGAATCACCTGGAAATATCTTTCACAAAATCATGGAGGAAGTAAAGATGAAGTAAGATCTTTTCTCAGTCTTCTTTAATCTTGATAATGAGTTCCCAGCATTAGGCTGGGTGCAACAAATTAAATGCATTTTGACATATAATGCTTGATGCTGGGTAGTTGCCAGGTAAGATAATAAATTTCTGCTTAATTAAACCACATTCCTTTTTTTTCCACAAGGGCTGATAATCTAATGGCTATTTGCAACATTGCCTGATGTATTCACATCAGCATATGCTGGGAAAAGTACGATATACCTTTTGATTAATGTAAAAAACCAGAATTTCCAGACATAAAGCCAACAGTTGGCATGACAGAGAACCCTGAACTTCAAACATATGCTTTCTCACATGTTTAATCAGAGGAAGTTTACCTAAGTCACTACACTGGTTTAGCAGAGATATTGAATGTCATGGGGAAAACAGAAAGAGGAAGGAAAGATTTGAAGGTTTAAAAAGGACAGAAGTATAGTTAAAATACTTTTTTAACAAAACTCAACCACTTTAATGTATTTGAGTCAAGACATCCGCACCAAAAAAAAGCCTCCAGTAAAATCTGAGCTGAGGAAACAAATACAATTAAACCTTACCTAACTTGACTGCTGTGTAGAAATGGACTTAGCTATAGAATTGTTCTTGCTATTGTAAGAGCATTAAGGGCCAGGTTAGAAAAGTAGTTTTCCCTTTAATTGGCAGCAATCACTGCAGTCTCTTGATCATCGAAGTACTTTATTAGAAGGTACTATTCAGTACTTAATCTTCCATATATCCTACATAACTGCAGGTATGAAAAAAAAGGATGTTTGCAGAGACTAGAATGATGACTTTTTTTCTTTGGCTTGCTGGGCAGAGCCACAGAATTATGCAGCAAACTAATTTCTACAAATTAAAATAGAACCTGCTGGGGGCGACGGTGTCTGTATGAAAAGGTGGAATTAGGGCTCTGCATTCGCTGGCTATACTCCCTTTTTCTCTTGCAAGAGCAGACCACAGAGTTCTCTCCAGCATTTCCTTTTACTTAAATGAAAATGTTGGTACTTATATTTAATGGTGAGTTTTCACACTAGGTTTTCCCTGTTCTAAAGACAAGTAGTTGTCAGGAAGATATGGAGAGGTCCTGCGCTCTTCTGTTCCTCACTACAAGTTCCTGCCCTCTTTCCTCACATGTAAGAATTGTAGCAAGCCCAGTGAGCTACATCACTTCATTGATCCAAGAGAAAACAAACCACTGCAAAAAAGGATTAGGTTCTGACATGACAGAGATTTCCCCAAAGGAACTCTCTCTTTTGGATGACAGCCAGATACTAAACAAAGCATCACATGAAACTATACCCACAGCCTAAGTCTTCATGGATCTGATTGAGGTGAATGTAATATTGAAGTACTGATATCACTCTAAGTTGACTCTGTTCCTCCCTACCTCAGCACTGGTGAGGAAACCTCTGCAAAGCCAAGGAAATTTATTTCAGAAGTAGAGTCAAACATCTGAAAATAGGTATTTATGCAATCTATGCACTGTTGTTTTTCTAAAAACAATCATTTAAAAAAATCAAATAAAGATCCTAGTATCTCTGACTTACTCCTTTTAACTCTGAACAGTGAGTCCACAGCATTAATTATGATTTTTCAAATCACTACCAACTACATAAAGGTTAAAATATGTTCCTCAAAGACAGCCTCCCAAATAGGCTTTCTTTTCACCTACTTTGCAATTTGAAAGAGCTTCTTAGAATTGCAAACTTACTGCTTTTTCCCAACGAACTCTGTTAGTCTTCAAATTTCATTTATACTTGGCTTTTTCATTCAGAGTAATCAGCTGTCCGGTATTTTGAACAGCGGATTATTCTGAATGAATTTTATTCAGACATTCTTTTCCATGACCTTCAGAAAGGACAGAGTTTCTTCATGTCTCTGTGATTAACAGTCGCACTTTCTTTTTTAAGCTACTTTTCACTACAGCATCTCATTTCCTGACTTTAACAGAATCTTACACCATTCAGTCATTTAATGCTTATAATTATGGAAAAACAAGAGACACATTTTATTTTGAGATAACTTTCTAGAATCCTTGTCTCATGTTCAGCAACTTCAAAATACACAGTCTTTAACATATTTTCACGTGTTAAGGACAAGACATTGGATAAAGCGTGACATAGGATTAGCCTGTAAGCAGCTGGCTATCAAGAGGCTAACTTAACAATGGGAAGGGATGCTAAATTCTCCCTACCTACCAGACAGTTAATTAAGTGCAGAATAGGTTTAGATAGCCTCAGATCATGTAAGTAATAATTTAGAATTTATCTACTTAATCTCATACTTCGTCTTGTCTTTTAATTCCTCCTGCCTTCTTTCATGATCAGCAAGAGAGATGTGGCTTTAACATTCAAAGGCTTTGGTACTGTTCCTCTCTTTGCTTCATGAAAGGAAACTCTTTGGATATATCCCATTTCCTTCTGGATGGTAACATTTCAGGTATAAATACATTCAGCTATAGGATGCTGTAAGCAAACAATCCTACAGTCCTCCTACCATTAGAAATCCTGCACTAAAATTTGTACCTCACAGAAAACTGACTCCAGATGTTGCAATCCAGCTAACAAGAACATTAACTCGAACTGAGTTCTACTTTATTTACGTCACTCCACAGGCAGGGAATTGCACTAACCTCAGTGGAATCTCTTCTAACAGACATAGGCAAGAAGAGAACAGAAAGGGGTCTCCTGCCCTCACACGCTTCTTGTCACATGTCTGTATCACAAGAGCACAGCAGTCTGTATAGTCATACTGACTCTTCTCTCACCACGTCTCAGATACATTTCACAAGATGATAGATGCATTCATAAATTTCACTGCACATTTTTATTAA